GGGCCTCTTGTCTCATGTTCGCCATTTTATTCCAAACTTTTTCTCCATGCATGGTCAGCATCTAAGAACCAGAAATGACCAACATATACGACCTTATTTGATACTCGGTATGATGGAGTGTCTTTGTTGCAAGTCGGACAAGCTTTGTACCCTTGTCCACTCCAACCGGATAAACTACTACGAGCTGGAAAGTCGTTTATTGTCCATAACAACATCACTTTCATATTGAAGAATGTATATGTCGCTACGTCTTCAGTATGTACGCCAAAACTCCATAACTGCTTCAACTCATCCACCAACGGCCTAAGGAACACATCCAAGTCCTTCCCGGGTGCTTTGGGGTCGGGAATCAACAAGGTCAACACGGAGGAGGACTCTTTCATGCATAGCCATGGTGGAAGATTGTAAGTGGTGAGTATGATGGGCCACATGCTATGAGGATTACACATGTTACCAAACGGATTTAAACCATCAGCAGCAATCCCTAAGCGTACGTTTCGGGGTTCCCTCGAGAAGTTAGGATACTTCATATCGAATTTTTCCCATGAAGTACCATCAACGGGATGAAGCATCGTACCATCTTTGGATCGTCTGGTACTGTGCCAAATCATATCTTTAGCTGTGTGTCTAGAACAGTACAAACGTTGTAGTCTGGGGGTCATGGGAAAGTATTGTAACACCTTTTGAGCCACCTTCTTACCGTTTGTATTTTCATCAACCCACCGACTCTCATTACAAAGTGGACACTTTTGCAAAAAAATGTGTTCTTTCAAGAAAAGAAAGTAGTTGTTTTTACATACGTGTATCGATTCATAACCCAAGTCGATCTTTTTAAGTGTCTTTTTTGCTTCATAATGTGATTGGGGGACCCTGTTTCCTTGAGGAAATGTAGTTTGCAACAACTCAAAAAGTTGATCGAATGAACTATCGGTCCATTTGTTGATTACCTTGATATGCATCAGCTTTGCTAAAAACTCAAGGGACGTAAACGAACATCCATGATATAAATTTATTTGGACTTCCTCTAACAGCTTTTGAAATCCATCGTCGACACTGTTACCTTCTGTATCCGGGTTCCCTTCATCGCGATTGGTATCGTTTTCAATCACACCCACATAACATCAGCAATAACATCGACCATCTCGTTACTACACAGTATGTCTTCTACAACCGAATGAACTGTATTTTTGCCATGATACTTCCATATAATATAATGTGGACTAAAACCATGTTGAAGTATATGGAATTTCATTATGGCTAGTAGTATAGATTTATTGACATTACATTTGTTACACGGGCATCTGATTTGAACTATGTTATCAACGTATGGTTTAGACCTCTCGAGAAAAGATTTGAGTCCTTGTTGGAACATGGTAGAGTTACGGTTTTCAACATTAGTCCAGGTTTTATCAATAGACATGTTGCAACTGAACCATAAGTTAGGTTTTAGTGTTTACTCTACAAGAACTAAAAATCGTATTGAATATTTATAATGATAGAGTAACTACTCAATCAGATAGAGTATTCATAAGGTTAGGCTTCTAAATCCATTTTTTGAATACGGTACCTCATATGTGAATGTGTATTACATGATTGACTGTTTAAGAAAAATTCGGCAGCATTTCCCCTTAGCTCCTAAGTATATATAGAAATATATACCTGAGGAGCAAAAAGAAAATAACAACCGAATATTTTTTTTAAACAATCAATCATGTAATACACATTCACATCCTAAATGAGATAAAGTATTCAAAAAGCAATCCCAAAATGGGGACAACCCGAAATTAATTACTAAATCAATTTCGAGAGGGTTTAAACGGAAGAGACTTAAACTAAAAAAGTCTCCTTTTTTATTATAGCATTGTACTTTAAATAATTAAGTTATTAAATTATAATTTAGTAGATTTAGTGTCTAAATTTTTAGTTTTTTATTTTTATTATAGCATTGTACTTTAAACGATCGTAATATATATTTGTTATTCATATGTGTATTTATTTTTTCCATATCTTTATTTTTAATATCAACTTATTTTTATTTTTTTTTTATTTGCCTATTACGACATGTACAATGTCATATTTAGGGGGATTATAGCATCTTAGTTTTTTTCTTATTATAGTATAGTACTTTAAATGACATTCTGCATTATAACATCCTATTTTTTTTTCAAATTATACAATCATATACATTTCACATTATAACATCAAATACAAATACATATACATTTCACATACAATTACACATACATATACATTTTTGCAATTATAACATTATGTACATACAATATACACACATATATATTTCACATACAAATACACATACATATATATTTTTACATACATATACAAACATATACATACATTTTTACATACATATCCGCACATATACATACATATACATTTTTATATACATATACAAACATATACATACATTTTTATGTTCATATCCACACATATACATACATATTTATAATAAATATACACATATACATATACATTTCACATACAAATACATACATTCCATATACTTACATACATATACAAATAAACATATACATATACAAATAGATTCCATATACATACATACACATACATTTCATATACAAATACACATATACATATACATTTCACATACAAATACCAACATTTCATAAAACTACATTAAAAACAAAAAAAAAAAAAAACTGGAAATCGATTTGGTGGTGGTGATGTGGTCGAGGTCCTCGGAGAAGAGATGGTATCACCGGAGAAGAGGTGGTGTCACCGGAGAAGATGTTGTGAAACCACCAAAATCCAAAATTACCACACAAATTCGTTCTAGAAAAGAATTTGAAAGAGAAAGGAAGGAAGGGAGCACCTACCGTTGCTGCAGCTGCCGGAAAATAGGAGTTTTCTCGCCAGAAAATCGGAGTCTTCTCGCCGACAAACGTATCACAGTCTGGGCCAAAGTGGGGGAGAGGAGGAGTGAAGAGGAAAGGAGAAAGGAGAGGCTTTGTGGTGGTGGTCGCCGAAGAAATTGATAGGAGGATCGATTGTTGTGGTCGCCGGAAAATCGTTGTAAAGAGGAATTGGGAGTGAAGTTGGATGTCACTTGTTCTGAGACACGATGAGGAGGTAAAGGGGACGAACCCTTTAGTGGCGACACTATTTGCGGCGACAGGCTGACAATTGGGGCGACAATTTGGAGGGAAGATATCCCGCGTCTTTTTTGGTGACTAGTAGCGACGACGGCGTCGTTTCTATTGCCGTCACTACTATTGCTTTGGTACGGAGAAACCCTGCCCGTTGGATCGGATCAAAATGGAACGACCACGATTGACTCTGGGTGAAGTCAAACGGATCGCTGATGTATACTATTAGAGGCAACCCTTTAGCAGCGACGGATGGCTTTTAGCGATGACACAAACACGTGTTGTCACGTGTCGTCCCTAATACTACCTGTTGTCTCTAATAGGGTCGCCCCTAATACCTATATTTCTTGTTGTGATACCTTCATTATTGAAACGGTCCTAACCATATTAGTGTAGGTTTATTCTAACATTTTCCAACTTGGCATACTGACCGTTTATATTATGTTCACTCATACCCTACCAAAATGATATATTGGTATGTGTCGTCATCGGCACAAGACCCTAGGAAGGCGTAGAAACTTTTAGTATTATGTTACACCAAATTGACTATCACATAGTGTGCTAAATAATGTAAACATTTATTCACAAATTTAACATAAGTTCACATAGTCTCAAATATAGATAAATATGGAACACATGAGAAAATCACAATCAAGTACTTGTCTCATGATCATAGTCTCATAGATTATAGTAGATCACTATGATATAATGTTACACGAGCTCTTAATTTGCAATTCGGGTTTATAATTTTTAGACGATTCCATGCAATCCACATGCCCTATTAAATAATGCCAATTTAAGTTACCCACAACAAAACAAATTTTCATTACACAACAAAAGGTACAATCACTTCTTCCATATTCTCAATGTAATGCTATCATTTTTAAGGAATATTTAACTATTATGATATTAATATAGTTCATGCACATTATACATTATGTTTATATAGTCATATTTGTAACTTACATTAAATAACTTAAAACTTAAAATTATATAATAGCTTAAATTTGAAGTTAATTCAGTAAATTTTCTTATCATAAAACTTGCCACAGATTATATAACTGATCATAACTTGATCTGATAACCAGATTTTTTCGACTCGTTAATTTTGTCACATCAATTAGGATTTGTATAGATTTTCAACAAATTACATTGTCTAAATTAATGTTTGATATTTTTGTGTTAGATAGATTAGATTAGGAAGAGGGTCGCCACTAGACGTTGAAAATTGTGTAGGATCTGATAACGCTATGATATTAACGTGAATGATCATAATGCTCTGTGTCCAGAGATGTTACTTAACCTTAAAATACACTATCATTAGACGTTGAAAATTTTGCAATTATGGTTAATATCGTGAATAGCTCAGATGTTAATTTTCTTAAGACAAAATAATCACAAATATTCTTTTTCAAAAATCCAAACATCAATCACATCAAACCAAACGATTTCAGGCCAAGTTAAAGATATTCCAATTCCAGTTGTATTTCATTAATTATTTGTTACAGTGAAAGAGAAGACATGCAATGAGGTTGTGGGGTTATCCACCCAGATTTGCCATCAGTCCTTTTGCTGTTGGGACAGATTTAAACTCCCCTTTTTTGTTTGGATGTATTAATGGCTTTTGGCCAAGAATCACTGCTGACTGATATCAGTTACACGGTTAAAGATCAAAACACTCCAAAATCCTATTCGCACTCACCACTATACAGTCGCAAATTCCAACCATTTCTTGTAATTGACCTCATTTCTTGCACAATTATCCAAAATACCAACTTTTAAAAAATTACTATTTTCTCCCTGGTCTTTCTCTTTTTTTAGCCAAATGCTAATATCCATCGTGGGTATTTTCTTAAAGATGTTGATAGTATGATATGGTACATTTAATGCTAGATAGATAACAATGATGGAAAATGAAAGAAACAACTCCTTGCTCATTTGGTAAAACCAAGTGAAATGTGTATACTTTTGTAAAACTTTTTATCGTAATGAGTATGTGGTGAAATACAGAACATGATGCTTTTTATGATTAATCAATCATTGATACAGTAGATGTCCAGAGCCCTTAAAATGCCTGCCAAGAGACTAGAGTCAGAAACTTACTGCCAATTCCATGAAGAAAACTAGTGATTGGTTTGCTTTCATCAGTCTCAATTTTTATTCCATACTTGTATCTTTGACTATTTAAAGTGACTTTTTTTTCAATGTTAACAGGAAGTTCTCCCATGAAATCCCAAGTGATGTTACAGTTCACACTGGAGATGCTTCTTTTTTATTACACAAGGTATGATTTGTGATTGTGTGTATCCTCTTGTTATTATCATCTTATTTCTGTATTGTTATGCAGTTTCCATTGGTGTCAAAGTGTGGTTACATAAGAAAAATATTATCGAATCCCACACATTCTGATCCTTTAGTAATTGAAATCCCTGATGTCCCTGGAGGCCCTGAAGGATTTGAACTCGCAGCAAAGTTTTGTTATGGAATAAACTTTGAATTATCAACAGAAAACATTTCAATAGTGAGATGTGTTTCAGAGTTTCTTGAAATGACAGAAGATTATGCAACTGGAAACCTTGTAACAAGATCTGAAGCCTATTTAGATGAAATAGCACTTAAAACATTAGCTGGTGCTGTTACCGTTTTGCAATCATCAACAAATTTGTTACCAATGGCTGAAAAAGTTAAGTTAATTACTCGGTGTATTGATACTATTGCATATATAGTAACCAGAGAAAGTGAGTTTTTCTCTTCTGGAAGCACTGGTGATTTTTGTTTCTTCTTCATCGAATCTGAAAGGTGTAGTCGATTGGTGGGCTGAAGATTTAGTTGTACTTAGAATCGATATATTTCAAAGGGTTTTTCTTGCAATGATTTCAAGGGGATTTAAACAACATGAACTTGGTCCGATTCTAATGCTTTATGCCCAGAAATGTCTTCAAGGTTTGGTAAGATTTCTTTTTGTTTTAGGTGTATTTAAAGAAGGGTAAATTGCAAGAAATGTTAACATAGTTTCATTACATCATAGTACTTTGAAAAATTTACCCAATTATAGCAATTTCATACAAATAGAAAGCAATTTTCACTTCTATAATTGGATAGATTTTTTCAAAGTACAATGTTTTAATTAATATATTGTCGATTTACTCATATGTCAAATTTAACATCAAACAGGAGATACATGGAAAGAACAAGAAAAAAATTGACTCGAAACAAGAACACGAAAAAAGGATAGTTCTAGAAACAATAGTAAGCTTCCTACCAAGAGAAAGAAACACAATGTCGGTCAGTTTTCTTTCAATGTTACTTCGGGCAGCCATATATCTTGAAACAACAATGGCATGTAAGCTAGACTTGGAAAAACGAATGGGCTTACAACTCGGGCAGGCAGTCTTGGATGACATACTTATTCCATCTTTTCATTTTGATGGTGACACAATGTTTGATGTTGATACTGTCCAAAGAGTCATGATGAATTATCTTGAATACGAATTAGAAGCCAAAAATAATCAAGAAAATGACATGGAAAAAGTTGGAAAGTTAATGGAAAGTTATCTTGCTGAAATTGCTTCAGATAGGAATTTATTACTATCAAAATTTGTGGATTTTGCTGAACATATTCCTGAACAAGCTAAGGTATCAGATGATGGAATGTATAGAGCCATTGATATTTACTTGAAGGTATGCATGTACATGTATCTTCTTATTAATATTTATATATCATTTATAGGGTTTATGTCATAATTAGGACGTAGGTTCTCATTTAGTCAGTTTACTCATTTTAATTGTTTTGGACTCCAACTACTGATATTGTTCTATGTACTATTATGACCTCTTATAGCAGGTTTTACCAGTTTTCGGTGCTGATTTGACATACTTTTACTTTGTCCACATGGCAGTTGACTCATTTTAGTTATTTTTAATGTATGGAATGAGAACCAACTATATTTCTTATGTTCCTATTTGTTCATCTTCACTGAAAGCTTTTATTTTGTTTTATATAAATAATATATGTGAAATAGTTAGTCACCCTCCCAGGCATTAAAAATGACTAAACTGCCACGTAGACCCACTTGCTCCAAATAAGCACCCAAAATTGGTATAAAACCGGCTATAGCATAGCAGGTCATAAAGGTTAATGATATTAATGGGTAACCAACATTTTTTTTTGCTTTTTTAGTTTTTTTACAAAACGCCAATATTGGTTTAAATAATTACTACCATAAAACCCAGCTCATAATGGTACATATTGAATAACATTAAATTGATTAAAGGAGGACATACGTAATAATTTGTTACTAAATTATGACAAAAATCCTTATTTCTATGACATTTTGCAGGTTCATCCAACATTAAGTGATATGGAAAGAAAGAAAGTTTGCAGCTTGATGGACTGTGAAAAGCTTTCACGTGAAGCATGTGCACATGCTGCCCAAAATGACAGGCTTCCTGTGCAAACTGTGTGTCAAGTTATTTTCTATGAACAACAACGGTTAAGAGACACCATGGGTGGTGATGGTCTATTAGCGGTTGAACCCACCACCACCACCACCGCCTCCACCTCCACCACCATCCCGGCTGCCACCGCCACGAACAAGCCATTATCCCATGAGCTTTCATGGCTGAAAAAAGAAAACCAGGACCTGAAATTTGAGCTTTTAAAAATGAAAATGACGTTGAAAGAAGTGGAAAGATTGTCTAGTGAGAAATATGTAGTCCGAAGCCCGAGTGTTCCTACTCGTTATTCTGCTGATCATAAGCCACTGTTTCCTCGGAAATCGTTTTTAAATTCTGTATCGAAAAAGTTAGGGAAGCTTATGCCACTTCTACGCGTTGATGGGATTGTACCTTTGAGTACAAGAGGAAGGAATAAACCAAGTAAAGACCGAAGACATTCAATGTCTTGATTCGTTTGACAAGAGTATTCTCGATTACATGCCTTTGATATATTTGTGTGATATTTCTGTAAAGTTAGTACATATCATTAAAATAAGAGCATTTACAACGGTGAGTTTAATGACAGAATTAAATGAGGTGACAAGTCTATTTGTCATTCAATGGATTAAACTCATAGTGAGATGCAACCTCTATATTGAATGGATTTTGAGTACAATGACCATTGAACTCTTCACTCAGAAAAATATGCATAGATTGAGTGTACATCACTATAATTATCATCTCAATCATGATCTGTTTCTTGTTGACATAAATTTTATCTAAAAGAATCGAATATATAACATGAAAATACTAAATTTTATCTTTGGGAATCCAAACGTATATGGGGCCCGGGGCGAAAAGAAAAAAAAGGTCCCTCAAAGACAATTATAATACAGATTAAAAAAAATATCATTTATTCTTCACTATAAACGCATTCAATTAGCAACAACAAACAAGTCAAATTGTTTATCTTTTGAACTACTTTGAGTTTGAACCAACTTGAGGCCCTAAAATCATTTAGGTAATAATATATATATATATATATATATATATATATATATATATATATATATATATATATATATATATATATACACATAGCCCATAAATTTTGGGCCCCCTGGAGACGTGGGCCTGGGCGGTTGCCCGGGTTGCCCACCGTCTGGACCGGCCCTGCAATCTTCATAAGGTAGTGTTAGTAAACAATAATTAATTCCATGTTGGATATTTTGTTGATTATTCCTACTATTCATTTGTTGATTTCATGAAACACTTGGTATCATGCGATTTTCATTTAGGAGTATAGTTTGATAAAGAGTCTTGAGCATAAATAATTGCAGGTCTGGTTCTTCCCCCTAGGCCAAGTGGGCCACCCTTTGTTTTGCTTTTCGTTTCGGACATTGTGAAGCAAAATGACGAAATTTAAGACATTTATAACATTTTACTTTGGATGGGTCTTTGGTCTTACCTTTTGCTTTTTCGGAGTCTCCATTCACCGATGTTGTGGAACGGTTTTGTTGTTGGTATGAATTATTGTGGCGACCCCCGCCTCCTCGACCACCTCGTCCAGCTCCTCGGCCACCTCTACCCCCCTCGGTTTGAGGTTCCATCTCTGTGAAAGATCAATTTGCCTTGATTACTTATCGGTTCAACTTCATGAATGCATTCCTCATAAGCCTTTAAACGACCAAATACGTCTTCAAATCCAACTTTTTTGAGATTAAGAACTTGTTCTATTGAAACAACTATGTGTATGAACCTACTTGGTAAACTGGTAAGGAATTTCTTGACAAGTTTGCTTTCGTTTAAGGTTTCACCAAAGGATGTAGATTTCGATGAAATGTCTGACAATTGGCTTGCAAACTCATCGATATTGCGTGATTCCTTCATCTTCAAGTTAAACTCAGTGATTAGAGTTTGTTGTCGTGCTTCTCTTACCCTATATGCGCCAAGGTGACGAGTTTTAATGGAATCCCAATTTTCTTTCATCGTACTCATCGCTCCAACTTACAAAATATGGTCTTCGGGAATCGCTTGGAACAGAATTGCTATAGCGATGTTTTTATTCTTCCATTCGTTCACTCATGGATTAACGACATCCCAAACTTGATGTATGTTTAACATCACCTTCATGAGAATTGCCCATACGGGGTAATTCGTTGCGGATAACATCGAAACATGGAACGAGAATTATGGTCCTTCCTTCGTACCCGACAGTCCCGAATTGTTGTCCCTCGTTCCTGTCATGATCGAGGAACACTTCCTCTTACGTTAATCGCTCTGATACTAATTGTTGAATGTAATTGGTAAAGTATGAAGATATAAACATGTAAGATACAGGCATATTCTTATTATAACAAAGAAACTGCCTCAAAACTTTGTTACAAGGAACCCTTTGTATCTCTCTCTCTCTCTCTGTCTATATATATATATATTAATATATATATATATATATATATATATATATATATATATATATATATATATATATATATATATATATATGATCCTACTCGATCATATACATGTATATATAGATGGCTAATTAGAATCCTACTTGATTACAACTTTCCATAATTAAAACCTACTTGATCCCTAAGCAATTTGATTTGCTTGAACTTTAAGCATTTTCTTAGAATTCCTTATTGCCCAAGGAATGATCCTTCCTACACCTCATCATGTATGGAAGGGTAATTCAAAAAATTTCAATAATCACCTCCTAATTAACGAATGGAAATTCTGAGGTCTTCAACTCCGAGTAGCTTCCTAATTTCAACAAATTTTATCTTAGCAATATCTTTCGTTAGAATGTATGCTCATCATTCCTTTTCGTTGATGTGTTCCACCACAATCTCCTTTTCTTCAACTCTTTATCAAATGTAGTGAAAGCGTGAGTTGATGTGTTTGCTTCGTCCATGAAATACTGGATTTTTTACTAGCACAATTGCAGATGTATTATCAATCCTTAGTACTACTCCGTACACATGAACTCCAGTTATTTCCTCAAGTAGATCACGAAGCCATACTGCTTGACAACTTGTTGCAATCGTAGCCATGTATTCAACTTTGCATGATGATAATGCAATTGGCTCTTGTTTTTGTGAGCACCAAGTAATTGGTGATTGGATTATATAAACTGTGAATATTAGCCTTGTATGCAATCAGACTGACTTTACCACATGATGATAAGCCATACTCCTCCCTTCATCTTGATATATATTGTGATATTATCCTTGTATGCAATCAGACTGACTTTACCACATTGTGAGTATCGAATTCCAAAACCCATGATCCTTTTCACATACCTTAGGAGTTGCTTTATAGCTGCAATATTTGATTTCTTTGGAGCTTGCATGTACCGACTAGTAATGTCAACCGTATATGAGAGATCTGGTCTCGTTTACAACAAATACCTTAGTCGTACAGCTAAGCTTCGATATTCAGTAACTTTGATGTCTTCCTCCCCTTCTACCTTCAAAAACTTCACGTTTGAATCCATAGGAATTGACATGGGATTACAGTCAAACATGTCCGCATCTTTTAGTACCTTTTTTTGCATAACCTTCTTGTGTAATCAAAATTTCATTCTTCTTTTGACACACCTCGATCCCCAGGTAATATGTAAGCATGCCTAAATTGGTCATATCAAACTTTGTAGCCATTGCCTGTTTGACCTTTGATATAAATCCTATGTTTGAACCAGTGATGACTAGATCGTCAACATATACTCCGACGATGATAAAGCCATTCCCAATACTTCTTCGATACACAACTTGTTCTTAAATGCACCTTTGAAACTTCATATTCTTTAGAATCCCTTCTAGCTTCATATTCCATGTGCGAGGTTTTTGTCTTAAGAAATATAAAGCTTTTACAAGCTTGTATACTGGTTCTGCACTTCCCTTTTCAAAGCCTTCTTGTTGGTGGGTGTATACTTCTTCTTGTAGCTCGCTGTGTAGAAACGCGGATTTTACATCAAGGTGATATAATTCTCATCCTTTTGTAGTTGCGAGAGATATTAGTATTTGTACTATCTTGATACATGCAACTAGTGTGAATACCTCTTCAAAGTCAATACTTGGTTGTTGGAGATAACCTTTTGCAACAATTCTCGCCATGTACATGCTTATCGATCCATTTGCATTTCTCTTGACTTTGAACACCCACTTTAATCCAATAATGGTTGTGTGAATCGGGTTTGGAAGCAACTTCCACGTCCCATTTTTTCAATAGAGTCATTTTCTTCTTTCATTGCTTTCATCCACTTTGGGTTATTTTGGCTTCTTGGTAACTCGATTGCTCATCTTCATTAAGTGCAAGTAATAGATCAATAATTTCAACATAAAAAATTTTCTCGTAGTTATGGTATCTTTGTGGTGTTTAAGTCACCTGGTTTAATCTTCGCACCGTTTGAGGCTCGTTGTGCTTGAAAACTTCATTCATTGTGGGTTCCTCTTGCGTGATTACCTCACTTCTGTCATTGCCTTCATTGTTTCCACCTAGTTCAATGTCATCTTGATATGGTGTATGGGTTACTGGTTCGTCTCCTATGTCAACGAGACTCGACTAGCGTACCCAAAACATTACGTGCTTCATGGTATAATCACATTTTTCTTCCCAATTCCAACTTCAATTTCATCAAAGATCACGTCTCGCGGTACACTAATTTTTTTGTTTACCGGATCGTAGAGTAGATACGCTTTGGTTCCCAGTTCTATTCCAGAGTGTATTGTTTTTCTTGAGTGATCATTGAGCTTCTTTATATGTCCGGTCTTTGTTTTATTCAATTCATATGTGATTAAACCCAACTGTTTTCACTAAATTCTGTGGATTACGATGAATCCATTTGAGTGATGATCGAGTTCATCTAACATCACCCTATCTCCATTCCTCTAACCAAAACCCCAAACCCTCAAATCCTTTTACGCATACTTCACACAGCCTTTGAGTGAATCAAAATTGAAAATGGTGTTCTGGAAACCAATATCACTGGGTATAGGATCGTTCCTATAACCAAGCAAAAGTTCCTCAAAGCCATTGGGATTCCTGAAAAACCCAAGGGTTTTCAAGTGCAAGAACCCTCGTCTGAAGAGTTCCAGACGTTTCTGATCGAAATTGGGTACAGTGCAGAGTTCAAGGCAAAGAAATTCAAGAAATCGGCGGTTCTTGGACTTTGGACCGTGTTGGTGCACCTCATTCTTCGAGGTCTTTTAGGCAAACATGGCGGAACGGACACGATGAGCAAGGATTGGTTGTATGTCGTCTACAACATCTACTCAGGAAAGAACAATGCAGTTGATTTGACTGAAGTCCTATGGAAAGACTTTTAGAAGTTTTCCATCAAGAGAAAGCCAAACGAGATTTCCAGTCCAAGGTTCTGGGCTCTGAATCTACAACAACTCTATAGGGAAAGATAAGAGCCAATCCCTATCAACACAGAACCAAAAGAGGTATTTCTCTCATTCAAAGCTATTAAGACGTATAGTCTTCCGAACCAGTTGGCAACTCTTCCATCCGAATCGATTTTTCTAAAACATCATTTAGAGACCTCGATTGTGTATGACCCAACACAACCCGCCCCAGTCTCAGATGAACTAC